TTTTATTAATTTTTTCCCAGCTGTCTTGAAGATGCTTCAGTGTCCTAGATTTAGTGGTATTTCCAGGCCCTATTTAACTATAAATGTATCACATTACTAACACCTCCCTCATAATTGTGAAACCTAGTTCTCCCTGGGAAGGCAAAAGTTCCTTTGAATGAAAGGACAGTGTCATAATAGGGATGGGAAAAGGGAATACTCTGGAAAACTTCCAGGTAGGCAATAATTAATCACATTGCAGAGTAAATTTTCAAAACAGAAAATTTTTAAACATATAAAGATTCTATTGGAAAGAGGACTTCCAATTTAAAAATTAGGCATTTGCCTATTTAAGGCTATAATTATGAGGTTTTGCAGTAAGAGTAAACTGTCTTCTAACTCAGAGTTGCTTATCAAAATGAAGTTGAGCAGTTGCTATAATATGTTAATATTAGCTTTTAATTTTCTGAGCAGAGATAATTTCACTAGAAGCTATTGACAGTGGATATTGGGCTACTTCTGCATTGAATTCAATATGTTTGAAATGTTTTTTTATACAGGTACCTTTCTTGATATAGAAAATACAGTTCTGATTATTTTTCATTTCTAGGGCTTAAGGGAGCTTGTGATTACCATGGCTGACTTTAGTATAATATTCCAAATCAAAGTAAAAATATTTTTTTGACTTAGTACCTGTAAAGCATCTGACAGATAGTCCTTGCCCCTGTCAATTTTAAAATAACACATTTTTAAAGTAGGAGGGTACTTCAGAAGATTAATGGAAAAATTCATATTATTTATCTTTTAATTCCATTGTTCCACAAACTTTTTGAAGTACCCTTATGATTCTAATGTATGTATCATTCTATTAATTATCTGCAGATTGGATTTATCTTCATTGTATGTAAATTTTCTTATAGTATACAGTTGAGTCCTTTCAAAATAATATTCTCATCTCAAAGACTTTAAAAAATCTGTTGCAAAAAGAAATGAGACCTGGTCATAAGTCAGCATAAAAATTTTATAAGACAGTTATTTTTTGTCAGCAAAATTCAGAAGCTTGTACTTAGTGGATTTCTGCTTATTACCATTTGGTATTGGGAATCTGTTAAATGAGCTTATCTGGCTAAAATGTGGCAATACTGTTTATGTTTTTAAAGCTGGCTTATCTTTTTCTTAATTTAGGATAAATGAGATTTGGTGGTTCATTTATACTCAAATCTAGATGTATTGTTAATATATTTAAAAAGGTGGAAAATGTGGTGCCCTGGTTCATCAATTCTGAGATGCACTTAACTCTGAAAATGAAAGGGCTCTGAAAACCGATGTTGTGTCATAGTTTAATGGAGACATTTTTTCTTACACCATGACTTATAAAATTAATAGTGCATTTGTTTCCAGGCGGCAGAACTAGGTTCTTGATTCATCCATGAAAGAAAAATCTTTCATGGGACTGACAAAAGGAAAGGAAGAGGGGAACAGAGAAATGGAACGTAAAGCGCCAAAGAAGTGCACAGGCATCTTCTGCCAGGGAGGAATGCACACACACGACTTACCTCTTGTTCTTTTCCATCCCAGTTGGGAGCCCCTAATGGCCATCGCCTGCCCCTCCTGTTCCTCCTCCTGTGCAGGTGCTATCTGATTCAGTCTGAATATTTATGAACAGCCTCCCTGAGGCATGTCCCTATTCTGCCCTGCCTTTTATCTTGTAATCAATCATGACTTATGTGTGATAAAAAGTAGTGATTGGGCTGGCCCGGTGGCGCACTGGAGAGTGCGCCGATTGGGAGCGGCGCTCCCGCTGAGGGTTCGGATCCCATGTGGAGACCGGTTCCCGCTCACTGGCTGAGCGCGGTGCCAGCGCAACACCGAGGGTTGCGATCCCGTTGCCGGTCAGTAAAAAAGACAAAAAGGAAAAAAAAAAAGTAGTGATTGATTTTTTTGAAGTATATTGTAGAACTTACATTCACATAATTCTTTATTATGATGCTGGTATACCTTTATGGTGAAAAAAAAAATCTAAGTGGTGGCAATATACCTTATTATCTGGAATTAAGACTTCAGACCCTTTTTGTTCTCACTGCTGTCATCCTAGTTTGTTGCTTTACATTAAACTGGTTACCATTTTGATTGAAAGATATGCAGAAAAATAAGAGAAAAATGGATATGATGAGAAGGAGAAAAGGCTTGTGATCCAGGGTGGGGTGGGGTGGGGTGGAAGTAGTGGAAGAAAAATGGGGAAAAGGAACTTGAAGGAAGTGACGATAAACAGCATTTCCCATTTATCCTGCTTTGCTTGTCCTGAAATCTTTTCCTGCTTAAGTCTCTGATTGTAATATATTAGCTTGTGAGCTACCCAATAGTTAAAATCACTACTGACATACTGCCTAGCTTCAGCCAGTATAAACTCTTCTTTCTGTGTCCCTCCTTTACTCTATAGAAGTTGCCCTGTTACCACCTCCAGCCTTATGAGTAAATGATCTCCTGATACCTTCCCTTCTATAGACCAAATAGGTAGAGTCTGTGTTTTCTCTTAATGTACTGTCTCAAATAGAATAACCATTTCTTATAAAATGCATTTTTGTATAAAGAACTATTACAGATTTTTACACAACTGAATGTGTTGGTTTTTACAGAAATCATGGGCATACCAGACAAGTACTTAATTTTTTTTTTTTGTCTTTTGTCTTTTTTCCGTGTCCGGCAACGGATCGCAACCCTCAGTGTTGCCCCCGTACCGGACCGGGGACAAGCAACGGGATTGCAACCCTCGGCGTTGCTCCCGCGCCTCGCTCAGCCAGTGAGCGGGAACCGGTCTGTATGTGGGATCCGAACCCTCGGGCGGGAGCGCCGCTGCACCTCCCAAGCGGCGCGCTATCCAGTGCGCCACCGGGCCGGCCCGACAAGTACTTAATTTTAAAAAACTTTCCTCCCTTTCTCTTTCAGCATTTAGGCAGAAATTAGTGCAGTCTTTCCCCTTTAGCTTATTTGATTTTTATTTCCAAAAGCAGTAATTTCTTTCTTTATTGTATAAATTCATATTGCATGTTTGTGCTTTAGCTTTCCACTCTGTAAACTTACTGAGAATGTATATTCTTGAACAGTTTATCCATTCTCTTCAGTAATGACATTTTTTTTTTTTTTTTTTGTCTTTTGTCTATTTT